GCTGTTTTGGAAGCGGCTTTCTTTTTTTACGTGTAAGCCCATAATGTGACAAATATGTAAACAAGAGTTTTATTGCAAAAAAAATGTGTGGGACGATGCCGATTTTGATCGACCCTACAAAAAATACCCTATAAAAATTCGTAAACCCTAGTAAAATGAACGGCGGAAAATTTCCGGTCTACCTCTATGACGATATCCGATAATCTAATGTTTTCAGGAATCATCGTTCTGGACCCTTTTACGTCTTGACGATGGCCGTTTTCGGTTGTTTGTCGTTGCTTTTTTGGCAATTTTCTCAATTTGCCTTTTTCACTCAAGTCGGTTCTCTATTTGTCGTCTATACGTCCGATTTTATTCCACGTCGAACGATGGAAACATTGCTCAAGGGACATTTGGTTGGTAGTTCCTTCTTTTACAGCTGTCTATTTTTTGAGTGCGTCTTGTTGTACTTCGAAACTCTCCTTCCCCTCCGCATCCACGCTTCATCCCTCTTCTCATTACCATTGAAGAGAGAATGCTATTCATTTTTTAAATGAAATGCCTTTAAAGAGTCCATGATAAGGTGGCATTGAGGGTCCTAACGTCGCACTGTACTGCTTATCTGGTTCACTTTCCTGATCGTATGTGATATTTGCGTTTAGGCTAGTCCTCGAGTTGAGGCAAAGACGCTAGGCAATGTTTGGTTCAGTGATTTTTTATGATGATGTGACAATAGATGTGGGACACCGCTCAGTTGACAATTTTGGGTTTACTAAGAAGAGATGGCACACTAGTAACCAGAGTGGAAGTGATCAGATATGCAGGGATGAAGAAAAATTATGAAAAATGGCCTGGAACCCAAAAATGAGACCCCGTTTTGCCCGCTGATTTGCTCATTAGGCGTGTCTCATCGGTGCCGACCTCATCAACATTAATGCTCTATCTGCCAAATGGTCAGAGTCAGACGGGGAGAGGGTGGGCGTGACGCCGAGCGGGTATGGCCCAGCTGGGTTGCTGGGGGCTACCTTTTCGCTCCAATCCCTCACTGTCTCGCATTCTGAAGTTCGCCTGCTATATTTCTTCACTTCTCCACGTGAGACCTCCCTTAATCTTCTGTTGAGGGATACGGGGCCTAAGCGAATTGGGTGGGATTTGAACCGCCTCTTGCGGCGCTTTAGGTAGCCAAAGCGCTTTCAAGCCCTTCATCAAGCTCCAAGGTGCTTGATTGACTGAATTTTACGAGTGAGTAAAATTTGCAGATAGCCTTTACTGTGGCGTTTGTGTTGCTATTTGGCAATGAAATGCTGCTCACTTCTCTGTACATTGCAAGTATTTTGGCAGCCTTGGTAAGTTTCTTGATAAGTGCTTCGGTTTTCATTCATTGTGCCTACATGATGACCTTTTTTCTCACAGATTTTGGTGAATTTGGAGCCTGTACTGGGCAGGATCACGTTTCGACCGCTTTATATTGCATTAACGTCCTTGTCTTTCGTTTTTCGGAACTATTGGAATCAAGTTCGGCGTTTCAAAGTTGCTTCAGGTGGAGGATGACGTGAGTCTGAAATTCAGAAACTTCACGTAAGCAAATCAGATTTAGTGGGAGTGTGAGCAGGGGTGGCCGAGCCTATAGACCCTTGGTGGCGGGTTGCGGGATTGGGGGGAGCCACGGCCCATTTTGCCGTGATTGATTCGCCATAGGAAACAGCGGTGCTAGGTTAGGTGCTGAGGGTGAATGGCCACCCATGCACCTTTTGGGAAATTTTACTTTTAAAAGAAAAAATACTCACGCGTGCAGCTGACCGCCCTAGGAAGAACTTACAATAGAAAACACTGTGGCTAGTCAATAGAAGACGGTAACCATAAGCCAAGAAAACCTCTTGGAATCTATGTGACCACAAGTGGAATCCAGGCCTCTTACCTGCACCAGTCGGCAATGGTGCCCATAGCACTACTATAGGTGCAATGGGAAGCCATGCCTGAACTTCGGGACACGAGTATACCGACACCCTCGTGGAACAGGCAAGTCAGGTAAGGACCAGATGCCACTCGTGGATTTCAGCAGAGAGACGTTACTTCCAAAGGCTTGTAAGTGGAGGTCACATAATTAGCAGACGGAATAGTTTTCTGAGGTGCGTCCTTCCGGAAGGGTAGGGTTAAACGAAGGGGTGGAATGCTAGAATACTGACTGAGTAGAGCCCTTATGCAGGGTTCCGATCCTCATGACTTGACCACTTCTGTATACTAATTATGCCAGATTAAAAAAGGTAAAACCAAGCACAAAGCACAACACGGAAAAAAACATAGTACTCAAGGAAAAAAATGGTAATCGAATATGAAGCCTTGCATCCAAAGAACAATTTAATACGCCTGGTGACCGCGATACCGTGATGTGGATCCGATGATGCAATCAGAAAGGCGAGAGTTTACTGTAACGATCTCTAAATGGAGCTCACAATTAGTCTTACTAGTGACATCCGTAATATTGGGAGAGCGATCAACAGAATCGTCCGGTCGTCGCGTTACCCCGTGCCGTCACTTGCGCGGTGTCGCGCTGCGGCAACTCTCTGATGGCCGGGATCTTGCTTAATAAGTGGTATGCGAGGGACCATCGCAAGCGGCGCGGCGCTCTGTTCGTCTGCTCCTCCAAGGCTTAGTCCGCCGATGGCGCGTATTTCGAAACTGCCACGTGGCAACGAAATAGTAACTGCCCCCTGGACAAAGCAGGACAAACAGAGCGCCGCGCCGCCGCGTGGTCCCCCCCACCCACTTTTAGCGCCGAATTTTAGAGGGACGGACTTGCTTGGTGTCCATGTAACGTTCAAGTTTAAATTACGCTCACAGAAACTCGTCCATTACAGTTCCGATGTGGCTGCCACGACCAGTAGTACGGGAATACGGACGATTCTGTTGACATACACCCATTGTATTGAGTTTTTAAAGTTCTTCCCTGAAGGTCTTACCGTTCACTGCCCCGAACAATTCGGGTGGGAGCTTCTCGAAGATCCTAGCCATGCGGCAGAAGAAAGAGTGTAAAGTCATAGAGTAGAATTTCGGACGGTCTTCTGAAGAACTCCAATACGACTGAATTGGAGCTGAGCAAGCGTCCCGCAGATGCACCGCCGACGCAGCCGTCTGGCAACCTTTGGATTCTTCCTTGACCTCACGTTTATCGTACCGTGCTACTATTGCTCCGCAACTGTGACTTTTCAGGCACATATCTTCGACATATTGAAATCGAAATTCACTGACTACTCGACATTTCACACACGCCTTTACACATGTTCCAAAGAGTTCGACTTCATATCTTGGAGGTGAGGTCACAATTAGGGGTTTTTTTCAATGGAATGTTTTTCTTAAGACTTTTCTGGTTTCAGACCCTTCAAAAATTGTGTGCAACATGGTTGATTCCTGCGGCTGCCATGGGCATTCTTTTATTCGTTATTGTTTTCCTTTTCACGGAAAGGAAGGAATTGGTGCATAGAAGTGGCGACAGGGAAACCATATGCCAAGAGGTAGGTGTGTCAAAAAATAAGAGAAGGCACTAGGCCACCCCCCACCTGATGGAACAGTTGACAAATAAACTTCGTGAATGCCAACGCCTCTAAACTCACAATTGAGCTTTAGGACATTTCAGCGTTTGTGTCATTTTTATCGCCCTTCCAGGAGGCCTTCTGCCAACAACTCCACTTATATGGAGTAAAAACTAGGGTAACTACACCAAACTTTCCCTCCTTTGTAGTCTTAACGCCTCTCGTTGTCACACCTCGCATCTGTATTTGGATGTGGGATAGTGACAAATTGGGTTGCGGAACAGATCAGTCCGCCGAAGAACCTTAACTCTCCAATTACGCTGCTCAGGCACAATCTAACGATAAGATGGAACTTACTACATCGACGACAGCGTGACGTGCATGTTTCACAGCTATTCGTCTATGTTACGAAATCCAGTAACATATTTTCATTCACATGAAGGGAATTAGTAGTAAGGGTTGCTAAGGTTTTAGAAAAAAAATATTTGCAAAAAAGGTACCTAGGTGTAAACACTCAACGGACAATCGCTAGTGTGTCAGAAGCACACCCCCACAGTCGATTTGGTAATACTCCCGGAACCCCTGTAGGGAGAGATGTGAAATGGACCGTCAGTTGAAAAAAGGAAAAGAACCGAAACAAGACCCTCATTCTTTCTCCGGCCGTGTTGAGCTGTGGCTTCCGGTAAGAGCAAACAGCATGACAAGAGATAAGGCGCTAGTAAGGTGACAAAGAGAGGTAAATGAGAGAGCATAGCAGATCAGCGACACAGCACAGATAATATACCGCCAGGATGAGTGTGCGTGGACCCATCGGGCGTACGAGAATGCCAGCCCCAATAAGCGGTCTGTGTGGAGCGACCCTTCGATAAGCTAAAGTTGCACCACGGCGACCTTGTGCAGTTTGCGGAACTAGCTAATGCTATCTATAAGAGGGCATTTTATTAACAAATGAACGACAACTAATTCCTAGGGAGGTTTATGGTGTTTTAAAGGCGAGAAGGCAGTCTACAAAGATACTGGCGCTAAAGCTCGGGACTCGATGTGCCGAGTTATCAGTCATAAGCCATTCGTGCGCTCTCAAGCACTCGTCTTAAACAACCAGGTGGCCACGATAAAGTGGTCGGTTGGAAAGGAAGTCTAGCCCGCTGTCAAGAAATTTCTCACATCCCAAAAGAGCGAGATGTAGCGTTTTCGCGAGCAAAACTTAACAGTACATTCTTCGTCCCTTCCAACGTCTAGAACATCTACACGCCCTACGATTGGCTGCCCCAACTGCTGGTCTCTTGCCATTGGACTCTGACCATTTTACTACAAAGGCAGAGCAAAGCGTTCATGTTGATGTCGTAAGCACCGATGTGGTTCGCAAAAAGGGAAAATCGAGTGGAAAAACAAGGGGCCGCTCTGTAAGCTCTCAACCGTTTCTTTTGATTTTTCTCACAACAGCACACCTGAACTTTCATTTCCATTGGCAACCAACTTCTCGTGCCCTCTGCCTTTAAGTCGCAGGAGTTGCATAACCAACTATCTCACTAGCAGAACCGATCAGAACCGATCGCTTCTATAAACTGATTGCGGGATATGCTATTTATGCTCATTTTCTTCAAAAGGGAAATGCTTGCATAGAAGGAGTCGTTATGAATGCTCGTGCATCATTCGTGTTGGGACTTTTTCTTTAGGAACTTATGACAACGATTAAAGTTAAATCGAAAAGCTATCTGAAATAGGTAACAGTGATCCTTTCAGATTTTCTACAATGTTGTGCAGACGGCCTGTTATGCAGTGATGGCGCTGTTGATTATGCGATTGAAATTGTTCTTCACGCCCCATCTGTGTATTTGCTCTGCATTTCTGGCAAATAATAAGGTGATTCAGCTTAATGAACAGATACCATTATTGTGTAGTTGTCTTCATCTAACGAGCCATTAATCATGTCACAAATACAGGTTGATACTGCCGATAAGAAATGATGCGGAAATAGAGACTGTTTTCTTCAAGAATCTAGCCAGAATCAAATTTGACTGCTTTTCACTCTATCTGACCCTTATGGGTTATGAAGTTTCCATTTCTACAACATCCCTCCTTCCCTCCCTTCGTATTCAGATTCATCCTTCCCCCCCCTGCGGGGCGGAAGGATGAACCTGAATCACGATCTTAAAGGCAGCGATTACGATAGTTCAAGAAGGTTTAGAGGAGACGTGGTGGTGCTCAGTGGTACGCCAGTGGCGAAAAAAGCGGAGAAATCCGTCAAGAAAACGCAAAACGGGACCCCTTTTTGGCCGTTGGTTTTCACTCATGAACAGGTAACAGCTCAGAAAGCGGACGTATGAACGAGTTCACCGCAACGCGTTTGGTGGCACCATGCCAAACCACGCTCCAATCGAGTTGCTCCAGTTGTGCCGCTGCTGGCAACGCAGCTCGTCCAAATCACCAACTAAACTAGTGGGCGGATCGCTTTTGGGGGCGGAGTGCTTTCGAAGTCCTGCTCAGC